ATGTAGACAAATGCACTTGCCGATAACCATGTTGACGAGCAAAGTCCAATAAAGTTGTTAGTAGACGAGAACCGATGCCATATTTTTGAGCATCGGGAGCTACACTCATTCTTCGTAACTCACAGATTTGATCTCTTTCTTCCGGTGGCAACTGCTGATAGTAAAATGGATTGCCAAGGCGTAAAGGCTGGAGTGCTACTTGACCTACGATACGATTGTCATCCGTTGATACAGCAACCCACCAATGAGCATTCGGAACTTGAAGATAATTCTTCTCAATATCTGCCATATCGGTTTGGAAGGTATACGTATAGTATGCCATGCCATTTTCATACTCCTTATGACTGTCTAACATCAGAGCTTGGCATGCAGATAAATCAGATGACTGATAGCTACGAATAATAATAGAGGGAGTAACAGATGTGCCCATCTAAAACGAAACAATGTTATCACTAAAATCAGCACGTAGTTAGATGTCGTTTCTCTTTTCTTATTTCTATCCATGTAGCCGATAATGGATAAATAATGGAAAATTATCCATTATTTTCCATTATTTTATGAAATAATGCATTTCAATTAATTATTTTCGCGTTTTCTGAGAACTTTTTACAAATAATGTTGAACGTTGTGATAATGCATTGACAGTCAATGCGGGTTACAGGAATTTCGGCCCACGGAATTTTCGGCCCAGAATTTTTGACCATCACCCTCACATCCTAACGTCATCCTGAAGACAGTTAGGCTCTGGGCCGAAAATTCCTTGGGCCGAAATTCCGGTCTCCCGTCAATGCATTTCAATGCATTATTTTAAATAATGTTCCAATTCGGAATAATGCATCGACTGACAATGCATTTCACTGCATTAATTTAAATAATGCTGAAATTTCTGATAATGCATTGGCAGTCAATGTATTTCAATGCATTATTTTAAACAATGTTGAAAATTCTGATAACACGTTAAAACTTCAATGCATTTCAATGCATGATTTTAAATAATGTTGAAAATTCTGATAATACATTAAAGCTTCAACGCATTTCAATGCATTATGTTAAATAATGTTCACATTCAATATAATGCATTGACCAACAATGCATTTCAATGAATTATCTTAAATAATGTTGAAACTTCCCATGTAGCCGATAATGGATAAATAGTGCAAAACTGACACATTATTTTCCATTATTTCGTAAAATGCATCAAATAATTAATAACAATGCATTATTTTTCATAGTTTCAATGCATTTTTTAGGAATAATGTTCTAATACTCGAAAATGGATTGAAAATCAATGCATTTTCAGAAATAATGCCTCAATATTTGATAATTCAGTAAAATTTCAATGCATTGTCACGCATTATCGAAAATAGTGTACAAATGACCGATAATGTATTATTATACATCATTAGAAACAATGCTTAAGTGTTTGGTAATGCCGTCAAACCTCTTTGTGGTTTCAGAGAACTTGTCTAGATGTTACATAATTCAGTAAGACTTTAATGGATTCTGATTCATAACTTGGAATGTTGATCTATAAACTTCAACACCGCATTATTCACGCAAAGGAGATTACAATAAGATAGTTCGCAAATTCAAAAATAAGATGTCACAAAGCGTAACACAGGCTGTCGACCTTTTACCAATTGGTATTCAAAGACAAGTTTAATTCTATCGTGTATGTATAACACGTTTGTTGTTGCAGGGGTGAGGCATATAAATATATATGAACACGGAAATAAAAGGAACTATTCAGAAGCTGGTAGAGAATCAAAAACTCGCTGGAAAGTACTAGAGAGAACATTCATGATCTATGCAGAAAGACTAAGAAAATGGTTCTAGATGACCATTCTAGAAAGGGAACATATGCATTCACGCATGACAACAGAATGCAAGAGCATGAAGATGGAAAGTACATACGATGACGTCACAACAATGATACAGAAAAAGATGGCATATACAGGCCATGACACTACTTAACCGCTTTCTATGTATCACACCTTTTTAACGAACATTCTTCCAAGTGCAGTCATCAACGTATAGATCTAATGGTTTAGTAATAAAGGATACGTGTAAGTTTCAAGTGACGGAGAAAAAGTGAAAGTCTCGTGCTTCATCACACTTCGGGAGTGCGCTGAAGTTATCCTCGCAAACTTTTTAATGACTTAAAGTTTACCACGACAAAACTTGCTTCAATTAGTTTGAATTAATTCTATGTTCATCTATCACATAATAATGCTCAGATACTTCATTGTACTTCGCCAACATTCTACTTTGAATCGCAATGAACTTCTCGAGCTTTACCGGGGGGCAGACTTATCAAGAATAAATCCAAGCTAATATGTTCGTGGTGCACACGAATCAAAGACTACAAATAGCTAGGACATTCTCCAGGATAACTTTGACCCATGCCTTAAATACAATCCAATAGCAAAACTTTTGTTTTTTCGTTCTTCACATAAAGTCATAGCATGTGGTCAAAAGGAAATCAATATCAAGCTACAATCAAAGAGGTAGAATCATAAGAATGTAGCTGCACAGGACTAGGAGTATATGATTAATGGTGTGGGGGTAAGGGTCTAGGGTTAAGAGTATAGGATTAAGGGTATAGACATAAGGATATAAGGTTAAGGATATAGGTGTGAGAGTGTAGGCATAAGGGTATAGGGTTAAGAGCATAGGGTGAAGCGTATAGGCGTAAGGATATAGAATTATGCGTATAGGCATAAGGATAAAGGGTTAAGGATATAGGAATAAGGATATAGGAATAAGGGTATAGGGTTAAGGGTATAGAATTAAGGGTATAGGATTAAGGGTACAGTGTTAAGGGCGTAGGGTTAAGGGTATAGGTTTAAGGGTATAGGGTTAAGGGTACAGTGTTAAGAGCATAGGGTTAAGGGCATAGGATTAAGGGTATAGGGTTAAGGGTATAGGGTTAAGGGTATAGGATTAAGGGTACAGTGTTAAGAGCATAGGGTTAAGGGTATAGGGTTAAGGGCATAGGATTAAGGGTATAGGATTAAGGGTATAGGAACAAGGATGTAGGGTTATGAGTATATGGTTAAGGGTATACAGTTACCGATAAGGAGATAAGCGTAAAGTGATAAGAGTATAAAGTATGACGTTCTTAATGCATTAAAATGCATTTTTAACAATAATGAATGTAATTACATGATAATGCAACCCAAATAATGCATTATAATGCATTTTTT